GACTTTGTAGGTTTTGTAGACCTAATATTATATTTACTTAGACTGTGGTTGGGATTGGTAATACTAATGACTTTGTAGGTTTTGTAGACCTAATATTATATTTACTTAGACTGTGGTTGGGATTGGTAATACTAATGACTTTGTAGGTTTTGTAGACCTAATATTATATTTACTTAGACTGTGGTTGGGATTGGTAATACTAATGACTTTGTAGGTTTTGTAGACCTAATATTATATTTACTTAGACTGTGGTTGGAATTGGTAATACTAATGACTTTGTAGGTTTTGTAGACCTAATATTATATTTACTTAGACTGTGCTTGGGATTGGCAATACTAATGACTTTGTAGGTTTTGGCATCGCAGTGTTCCTTTATCCGAATGCACAGTCTTCTAGTGAGTGATCTAATATATCCCTGGTTACACGTGAACTTTAATATCATTCAATGGATATTGTTTATCTTTAAAGTAGAAGAGTTCTTTTAACCTACACACATATCTTAAATGAACTTGCGGATATTGCTGTTCGATAGCTTCCTTAATTTTCTTCTTAATCATGTCTAAGTTTTTATGTTTGTAATTAAGCAAAAAGCTACACAATGGGCTATCTGTGCTCTGCCCACCACGGGTATCGAAACCTGGATTCTAGCGTTGTAAGTCTGCACACATACCGCTGTGCTACTGGGGGCTAATGTCTAAGTAAGGTGTGTCTAAAGTAACAGTGTGGGTATGGGATTATTGTATTTAGGAATGACAACAGAAAAAAATCTTCTAAGCATTTATTTAATGTTCTCAACTTCTGCTTCAAAACGTTTCGATTTCCTAACATGTTTAATGTCTGTATAACATGAGTTTAACTAGATTTTCCTTAAAAAATTATCGAGTGAAATTATCAAAATGTGAATAAAGTCCAGTGAAAGCGGGTTTATGAAACACCTTGATGATAAATATACCCTGGTTATTTATGTAATTAATATCTAAGAATGAGAGCTTGTCATTTTGTTGATTTGCAACAGTAAACTTTATATTGAGATGTTTGCTATTTTAAATTTGGAGACATTAGTTAGCCTCTCCATCCATAGATGTTCATAGATTTTACGATTACATTTAAAATGTCATTGTTTTGTCACAAAATGTAAACTTATTTTAAAAACATCTTTAGTTAGAGCTTGTACAATTTTATTTTTAGCAAACACAAGAATAATGGTATATTTATAAAGCTTTTTGAAGCAGAAGTTGTAGATATTAAGAAAATGTTTTCTGTTACCCCCATCCATTGTTATGTCAGATGTTCCAAAGAACACCGTTACTTTAGTGATACCATACTCAGTCACTATTTCATACACGATTAAGAAGAAAATTATCAAATAACTATATCCACAAGTTCAGTTAAAATCTGTCTTGAAAAAAAAGTGTATGGTAAAAAACATCCACTGAATATCTCGCTAATTGTATATGAGTTCATGTGACCTAGGCACAACTACGGATATATTAGATCAATCACTAATGGTAAAAAACATCCATTGAATATCTCGCTAATTGTATATGAGCTCATGTGACCTAGGCACAACTACGGATATATTAGATCAATCACTAAAAGATTCTACTGACGAATAACAGAACATTGTAACAGTAAAACCTATAATGCCAATAATATTTCCAGCTATTACTTAACCAAATGTGATGATGTGAAAAGGAACTAACACGAACTTCAGTCAATACACCATAACAGTAGCACTGTTGTTGCGACACGTTATAACACTAACACCATTTAAATAACACCGTGACTGTAATACTCTTTAATATTAACTCCGTAGTTCAAGGCCCGGCATGGCCAGGTGGTTAGGGCGTTCGACTCACAATCTGTGGGTCGCGGGTTCGAATCCCTGTCACACCAAACATGCTCACTCTTTCAGCCGTAGGGGCGTTATAATGTGACGGTCAATCCCACTATTCGTTGGTAAAAAAGTAGCCCAAGAGTTAGCGGTGGGTGGTGATGACTAGCTGCCTTCCTTCTAGTCTTACGCTGCTAAATTACGGACGGATAGCGCAGATAGCCCTCGTGTAGCCTTGCGCGAAATTCAAAACAAACAAACAAACATTTATTAAGATTAATGCTTTAATTATTATGATGGATGGAAAGAGATGCATCAAATTGTCTGCAGTGAATGCTTGTAAACGTTTATTTCCAGCCTACAATGAGCTATTTATTTGTTATGTCACATTTACTTTTCTACTATCATCGACAAGAAAAAATTCAACACAAATAATACGTTTTTATTTCGCATATGAACATATACATTTTTTCACACACAATACGCACAATGTATTCTTGATATTATCTTATGCACTGATAAACGTAAAACACAAAATTATAAAGAAGAGCTACTTATTACAAATATCATAAAGCCTATTCCATTATACAGTTTGTAACAACATATATTGTTTATCAACTGTGGAGTTTCTAACAGCAGAATTTCGTTCACATTATTGTACAGTTTTTCTATGTTCACTTAGTTTTCAGTTCGTAATGCATTATGTTCACTCAGTTTGTCCTCGCTGTAACGACAGCTACGTTTATACAGTTCAGTCCTCTTTATCTGTAATGTTGGATATTATTTATTCGATATCATTCATTAGTTTTGACGATTTTTTTTATATTAGCTTATTCCTCTACTTTTTCAATTTGATAGGAAAGTATAAGATGAAGATTCAAATAATTTTGATATTAGATACAAGCTAATTTGTCAATTGTAAATTTAAGCTACGTCTGACAATTGTTCTTTCTTTGATTGTAACAGAAAATACGTTAAAAGTAAGTTTAAAATATAATACGTTTAAGAATTTACTTTTTATATTTTTGGTTAAGTTATTAACATTATCATGCTTCAGACAAAAACGATGTCGTAATCAACATTAACCGTCTTAATAATCATGTTCAATAACTAGCTATTTCACGTAAATATTGTCGTATCCGCATGACAAGAAATTAGGTTCACTATTTTACATTACTGTTTTTGAACTTATGTCCTTTAATAAGCACTATTGCTCTACATACTAGCCATAGGTCGATGGCGCTGAGAAAAACAGGCTTTTCAAAATCCTAAAAATCCATTAGGTATTAGAAGACCAACATTCCAATATTAAATCATTAACAGTGTATATGAGCTTATGATAGACTTTTATAACATTCACACTTGACCAGAATAAATTCACATTACGGCTTGTATGTGACAAAGCAAATGAAAAAGTAACTTGTGTAATCGATGCGAGCAAGACATTTCTAAACGCCATCTGTCGGTAGTCACATGTTGTTTCTCATTCGTATCAGTAAACCCAAAAGTTTCTTCCAATTACTAACACACTTATGTTTCAAAAGGCAATGTCTATTTCTGAAATTGCTTGAAATGAAAACTGGTTTACTTTGAGTATTTAGCAATATTTCAATATTAGTATTGTTTTTTTCAAAACACATTTTTGTTAATTCTAATATGGCCTTTATGAGTAATTTTGAGCTAATCCTTCAAAGGTATTTTCCTTTGAGTTAACTCATTCAATAAGAAACAGACACGTCCGTTAGTTTACGCCTTTGGTGTTATGCTTCATCTGCTGCCTCTTTGATCAAATTTCAATTTTTACGAAACACCTAACGCACATGTATTTTTTGAATGTCTAACACAGCCACAAAAAATCAGAAAAGTATAGAGATGTAATTTTTCACACAGATTCACGTAATAACTGTTCTATTTTGGACACTGTAAAGTCCTCTACAAAAAAAGAGACCAATTGTAATTATATATATTTTGCTTTATATTAATGCTTGTTCCATGAAATAGTATTGCTCATCTCTCTTAACAGTCTTTAAATAAAACTCACTATGGCAAATGAGGTTAAAAAGTAGATAAACATCCATATTAAGCATAGTAAATAATACAACCATTTGAAATGTGTACATTGAACGAGATAATTGGAATATACAGTGTTTTATACTAAGATATTCCATGCATCTAACAGAAATGCAATGAACACTAATATTATTATTATTATTATCTAAACAACATCTAACAATTTCCTGTACGTCTGTTTTATAATAAGACTCTGAAAAAAATTATAACATAGGAAATTAAACCGTTTTCTATTGGAAATAATGCGAAATAACAATCAATAAGGGAAGGACTAACGACTCCCATCTCTTTTCATACAATTAGATCTCGATCTTAAAATATAAAGTGATTCATCAGGTTAACGTCAAATTTAATATTACTAGAACTAGTGAACGAATATAACCATTCAATTAGCCACAACTAAGAACAAATTTAATATTGCTAGAACTTGTGAACGAATATAACCATTCAATTAGCCACAACTAAGAACAAATTTAATATTGCTAGAACTTGTGAACGAATATAACCATTCAATTAGCCACAACTAAGAACAAATTTAATATTGCTAGAACTTGTGAACAAATATAACCATTCAATTAGCCACAACTAAGAACAAATTTAATATTGCTAGAACTTGTGAACAAATATAACCATTCAATTAGCCACAACTAAGAACAAATTTAATATTGCTAGAACTTGTGAACAAATATAACCATTCAATTAGCCACAACTAAGAACAAATTTAATATTGCTAGAACTTGTGAACGAATATAACCATTCAATTAGCCACAACTAAGAACAAATTTAATATTGCTAGAACTAGTGAACGAATATAACGATTCAATTAGCCACAACTAAGAACTTCCTCTGATAAATTATCGCCTCCTATTAACAAAATAAAACGAATGTTTGGATGTTTGATTATGTGTGTGAGGGGGGGGGGCAGTGAGAGGAAAGGTTGCGTCAACATTGCGGATCAGTCCAATTAACGGAAGTTAAAACAAATATATTGCAGTGCAAATTTTTAACTTACATGAATAAGTGCAGGTAGGATTCAGAAATATAATTATTATACGCAGTTGCCTTAAATACGTAAACGCGTATTTAACGATAAGAAATTATTTCCGGTCGTTTACAAACACCAATTGGATTGTTGTCATTTTTTCTCTTCTTTTCATTTGATGACTTTTGAAAGTGGCATACGAGGCTTTCTCCACACATACAAGTTTCACGACATCTCCGACCTAAGCCTAATTGAACCTTTTGACATTTAGATGTTTTTCCATTTTTACTCTGGCAACAGAATCCTGTTTGAATATACAACACATCAAACAAGTAAGTTCACATTTTATACAGGTTTTGGCATCTGCATACTAGAAATTCTAACAATTGTAAGATATAAAATTTTATAAATGTCATTTTGTGTGAACTAAATAAAAATGTTGTAAAAGAAAATCTTGTATTGACCCGTTTGGCATATCTATAATATCATTTGAAAGAAGCCTATATCAATAGAAGAAAAATAAAAACGAAAAGGTAAGTAAATTGATACATTAATAATTAAAAACAAATAATAATAAATGAAAATTCATTTTTAAATAATTAAAGATATTAGCACGATGAGTTTGAAATAACTGCAAATTTAAACAGCTTAACACTTGCACTATGATTTTTCTAAGAAAATATAAGTAAGTTTAGCAACGCTATTTAGAATACATATAAGGCATTCGATAAAATTAATATAGTTTCTCTAGAATTGAGCTTCATAATACAATTTTATAATACAATTTCGTGTTTAAAGAGATGTTTTTCATACTTTTAGTAAAATGTATCATTACACTCCTACGTTTATAGAACACATTTTTTGCATATGAACATGAGCTGAAATGCGATGTATAAAGTAGTTGCTTGAGCATGTTACATGAGTTAATCTGTAACATAATAAATCATTACGATCAAGAAACTCTACAACTGCAAAATATCAGAATGGTTCTGTTTATTTAATTGGAACATTGTTATTAAAAATCGTCAGAGTATATCAATATATCACTATATCAGAGTATATCAATAGTGGTAATGTAAACTGAATATGTATATCACTAAGAAACGCTTTGGTTGCTGAATTCTAGAATTACTGTTTAAAAAGAAGATTGGGGAGACTTGAAAAGTGTAATGTCATTTCAAGAGTCGGTAGGATTCGACTATGTCGGAACATACGAGGCACAGGAAATTTCAAAACCTATTGTATTGCAACCACGAATAGTCAGAAAACCGCGTATTTCAGATATAAACAGAAGAACACAGTTATACTTAGAATCCACTCTGTGGAAACAAAGAAACACTAAACGATCAGGTCAGTTGTGTGGACTTTCCCCTGTTTATGCATTCATTGAAAATAAATAAAAACGTATATCACACGAGGTACTTGACTCTGATTGTGTCTTTCTAACGTTAAAAACTGCTAGAAGTGACGTAATGAACTTAGAAATGTTCTTGTTGCAACTGTTTGATCCTTTGTTCCTTTATAAGGACGAATATCATTCGGAGAATAATTAAACGCTGTTTTCTGCCATGGCCACCCTACAATTTTAATTCTGGGATTAACTTGAATGTCAAGTTTGCTAGTGTAGACATCTCTCGCTATCTGTGAAAAAACACAAGTCGCACCCATCAAAGAATAGACTCGAAGAAGAAACGGTTGGTATCTCACTGTGGTCAGAAAAGGGTTTCCATAAAGTGTTCAGATAGTGTATGCCATTTCTTCTGTTTTTCATTAAATATCGTCTCAAACATTTTTAATATTTTATTTTATTTAGAAGATTATATTTAATGTCATTATAAGATGTTCTCGATAAAAAATAGTTGCTTCATTTCTTTTTGATTTATGACAAATTCTTCCTGTAAGAGATACCATAGAATTCAAGAATCTTGAAAGTTTTGTGTCATAAGGAAGTTTTAATGAGCTATTTTAATCCGTCCTTGTAAAGCCATTAAAACTGTCGATAATTTTATATTCAATTAAGGTTTTGTAAGAAGAAAAACATAAAGACAGATATTTTACCTTTCGAAATAATTCTTTCGTGTGCTTTGACGTAATCTAATTGCGCCAAATATGTGGATTTAACAAGCTTAAGTATGGGGAAGTTTCCCATATTGACTCCTGTTAACTATATAAAAATTTAATACTCGTATACAATTTTCAATTTGTTGTTCTCGCGAGTAGATGGAATTATTTCAGTCGATGTTAAAAGAAATAAATTTATTTTGATTATCATCGTTTACAAACCACATTAAAAATGGATTCTGTGACCTTTTCTTACGAACAAAATTAAATTCATGTATTTAAGTACTACTGAAATTTTGATATTTCACGAAAAAGATGGTATTACTTCAGTAAATTAATCAAATATCAAACTTTCAACGAAAATTCGTTTGAACTTTTCCCATTTATTCGTTACCACTTACCTGGTTTGCAATCAGCGTTAGATGTGCACAAATCATTTTTTATCTCGTGAGTTATTTCATTATTCTTGGTTTCAGTGAGAGATACCATGTTACCTACACCAGGATCTACCAGTGTGGCTACTTTCGCAGCTCTGGCCGAGTCTCCTGTTTGTTCTTCTTGAGATACCGTCTTTGGTTCGATCCTATTTTCATAGAGCATAAACTTGTCTTCTTTACCCTTGTGAGGCTTTAGCTCTTTTACCAATTTTATTGTCTACAGAAAGTAAATCAAATGAAACCTGTAAGGTTTATTGACAGGTATTCATTAAGGGTACCTTCTTTTGAAACGTTTATTAAAAACTGTGTTCTGCGACTTATAAATGACATTCTGCTGTTTAAACACAGTAATTGAAATTATCATGAAAACATTAGATAAAATGGCTATAAAATACAGATATAACGCGATTGTTCTCACTCCCCATGTGTGAAAATGAATTGAATTAGAAATGGTACTGTCACGTGATAACAGTTGACACTAACTGGCTGTCATCCATCTCTTCAGACAGTGCCACTATAAAAGTACAGGCAGTCATATTGTTCTCAACAAGTAATATGATGAACGTACTCATGGTCTAGAGGACAGAAATACGTGTAAAAATCAAAGTTGCGGCTCGTGAAAGCTATTCTATATCGCAAATTGAGGTGACATTTCATGTTTCAGTAAAATCAAAGTTGCGGCTCGTGAAAGCTATTCTATATCGCAAATTGAGGTGACATTTCATGTTTCAGTAAAATCAAAGTTGCGGCTCCGGGAA